TTCATGTATTTAAATTTTGATGTAATTGTTCAATATTAAATTTTGTATTTTTTGATTAATATTGTTTGAGCATATTTTTTAGTTAATATTGCTCGAGCATATTTTTTAGTTAATATTGTTCGAGCACACTTTTCAGTTAATATTGTTTGAGCATATTTTTTAATGAATATTGTTTGAGTACATTTTTTAATTAATATTGTTCGAGCTAACGTTGAGCATTTCATCATTTCACAGATTTTAGTTTTTATAATAGCATTGTTTTTTATTTAAGAGTGGGAGAATTTTTACCCAAAGTATTGTTAACAGGGCTAAAATTTAAATTTAACTCGATTAAACGTCTGAATTTGCAGGTTTTATTTGGAAGAAAAGTGATTCTGTTTTTTCAAATTAATACGTTTTAATTAAACCTTCCAGAAAGGTTATTCTCGAATTCTCTTATTAAATTTCAATTGTTTAGCCAGATAATGAAAATTTTTCTTCAGCTGATTCAGTTTCATTTCATTGCATTCACCGAGCCGGAAGAAACTGTAAAAAGTATGAACTTTTTCGAATATTCGAGCACCCAATTCAATTAACTGATGGAACTTTGAAACATGAAAATTAATATTCAAGTACCTAATTTAATTAGTTGATGGTACTTCAGAACATTAAAATTAAAAACATTTTTGTTACAAATTTATTTAAAACAGAAACTAGGTTAAGTACACCAGGTTTTGAAAATCTCGAATTACAAACAAATTATTAATTATAAATTACATAATTATCCTACATCTTAATTATCAAACTCTAATTGCCGTCCTTCCAATTTTACTCGTTTACGATATTTCACAGAACTCATGTGCGCCCAGGAGTTCCAAAATTTCAAAATTTTTGATATTTAAATTTTTATTGGAAAACTAACATTTTTACGTTAAACAAAATTCAGAACGTCAATAGAATTACAAAATAGAGTAAGTAATTTAAATTACAACGAATCTGCATTAACTCTGAAATATTCTACCTGGGTAACAATTCAATCATAACTCGACTCGACCTTCTCAAATTAAATTATCCTCATCCCATGTCAATCACCTAACTCACACACATAAACTCAACAAATCTACACTAACCCTAAGAAGTTTCACCTGGGATAACAATTCAATCGTAATTGAACCACATTTCAAACTTGACCTTCTCGAATAAATATTTTCTTCGTCTCATGAAAATTACCTAACTCGTGCAGATAAACGTAATAAATCTGCATTAACCCCTTAACATATGACAACTTGTCAGACTCGTGACAGAGATTCTGGTCAAAATGTGCGAAAAATAGTTATATTAGTAAGAAAAATTCATTGTAACCCTAACATTCGTTTTAATTCGTAAGACTGAAGATTAGTAAATGTAATCGATCTGTAACAGATCAACTTTAGTTACCCGATACAGTACTAAAACCTAAAATGGCTGACGCTTAGATGCAAAGTCAGGAAAGAAATCATACTTTAAGGGGTTAACCCTAAAACGTTACGCTCGGATAACAATTCAATTATAACTCGTTTTGACTTTCTCAAATTAAATTATCCTCATCCCATGTCAATCACCTAACTCACACACATAAACTCAACAAATCTGCACTAACCCTAAGAAGTTCCACCTGGGATAACAATTCAATCGTAACTGAACCACATTTCAAACTTGACCTTCTCGAATGAAAATTTTCTTCATCCCGTGACGATCACCTAACTCATACTCCCTCGTCTCCAGCAACGGTCCCTTTGTTTCGTCGTTCCAAGGACAAATGTACCTACTCTGTCGATAAATATGGATCACCCGCATCTCGTCCATACCTCTCGAATATCGATCTACATATCGGTTTCGTTGTCTCGCCGAAGACTTTCCTCGCTCGTGCGTTTTTTGCAGTGAGAAAGGAGATGCATGCCAACAGGTCTTGAGCAAAGGTATTTTAAGTGGTAGGCCTGATACTCGTATATGGGCGCCTTCTACACAGATAGAGAGGTGCGTTACCACGCGGACCCGCCGTGTACACGTCGAATGAAAGCAGGCAATCGTATTCGAGATGTTACGTCGGAACTATGAGCTAACGGTACAGACGGGTAGCCTGGAACGGTGGGTAGGAGCGCGCGAGCTGTTTACGATTTTTCAGACGCCAGCAGGAAGCGTGCTCAGTGGCTCGAGGCGTTGAAAATAAATTTGTGACCGGCTGCTTGGTCGATTAGCAAATCGTCCAAAACGAACGCATAGAAGACGAAGACGAAGAAGAAGAAGAAGAAGAAGTCCCAGGGTGATTCTCGATCGTAAAAAGTCACACGTGCACCTCCTCGATCCCATGCTCGAGAACAGTTTTCCTTTTCTCTCTCTCTCTCTCTCTCGATCACTTCAATTCACACCGTGAATTCCCTCTGTCTCCACGTTTCTTCCTCCACCTCTTCGTTTCAACGAAAAATGTAACGCGCGAGGAGCCCGTTCGATCGTCTGTTTCCCGTTACACAAACCGTGTGTGTTTCGAATCTCACAGGTGTGTTTCGTGTGTTCTCCATTGGATTCGACTTGTGCCACACACCTTCCTCTCTCTCTCCGCGAGGAAATTAAGTGAGCGCGCCCGCCGCGCGCGGATTTTACAGCGAGACTCGTCGCCGCTCTGCTGTTTTGTTACTTAAACTCGTTATGTAAATAATGCTCATAGCGCGGTAATTATGCGCGGGAAAGGGGCGTGCATAAATTTGCCTGATACGCTTAAAACGAACGCGTCGATGGACCTATCTCTCTCTCTCTCTCTCCCTCTCTCTCTCTCTCTTTCTGTTTCGGGATTTGTGCACCGCGGGAAATTTGCATTGTAGATAATTTATCGTAGCTAGCACGAGCTCACTCTCTGTATCTTAATAGAGTGGAAGTGTAGTTCTCGCTTCGTAGAGCACCTCTCTGCTTTCGTTCGAGGGTTACTCTCGATATCGTTTCCGCGGAGGAAAGGATTCCACGAGATTCGCTTCGGTGGCTGTAGGTCTGCAGCGCGAAGAGAAGAAGAAACCGCGGAGTAGTCGAAGGATGGTCGAAAGATCGCGAATCGCGGTACGTGGGATCGATTAAAAAGCAACTCTTCCAGCAACTGTCAATCCGCTTCGCTCGGCTGGACGTCATAAATCACGAAATCAATTGTGCCAAGCGAATCGTTTCACTCTTATACACGCGTGTCTTTCTCAACCGACCACGACCACGACAGTCCAAACGAAGATCTAGATAATTCACCTTCGTTTCGTTGTCCTCCTTTCTCTATTCCTCCTCCTCCTCCTTCGTTGACTGTCCTCTTTTTTTCTCTTCCCCCTTCTTTTTTTTATTTTCTTGTTCACCAGAGTCCACTCTATTAGTCGCACAAGCGTGTCCCGTCTACGGATCTCTCGTGGAAGACAGAAGATAGATATCCGTCTGATTAACGATCAGATCGAGCCAGTATCCTCCTGCTGACTGATTAACGAGCCAGTTTTCTTTCGGACCGATCTGGCTCACGAATCGTTAGGCCAGTTCTGTCTGGGCTTTCGCGATTCGTTAGCCGTTTCATTATTCCTATCCGCCGTTTGCTCCACGCGTCGTAATCCGCTTTAGGTTCAAAGGCATCGGTTAATCAGACCGTTTATTTGGCCATTGTACGCGACAATTTTAATTGGTTTTCGTCGAACCTACACAGATCCCCTGTCCAGGCCGCCGCCTCCGTTGAACCTCGCGTTCAAAGAACTCGAAACCATTTTCAAGTTTGCCCGTCCATTCACCGTTCAGGGTCAGTGTCGATCATGCGACTATGAATTAATGGCCACAGTCGGTTTCGTTTATTAATTTCCCTCTTCTACGAAGGCGAGACGGTCGCGGAATTAGTATTCGCCGGGGACGGTTATACGTGTGTGTGTGTGTGTGTGTATACGCTGTTCGAATTATGTTTAATCAAGTTGTTGCTTCGAGGCTGATTAATTAGACGTTGGCAGATTTAGTTGTCTCGGTGTATTGATACTGGCGAGATTTATGACAGGGAAATGTAACGGAGATTGAAAATTGTAGTTCCGGTGGACAACATAATGGCGAAGCAATTTATTTTCACCCGGGACACCTTACATTTATCATCGTTCTGTTTTATTTTTTAGATAAATTCGTACGCACGTTTGAGCCCCGATTATTCCGGATTACGCACGCTTAATTTCTGTTTGAACAAATTCTTTTGTATATGCAGAGTGAGTCACGTAATTTGTCCACCTCGAAGAAGTTTTAAAGTTGTCGTGGAAAATTTATCGCTCTTTCAAATTTTGGTATAGAAAGGTGCACGTTTCAGTTACAAATTCAAGGTCGCCTTGATATCTCGTAAACGAAGAGGTTATTTAAAAAAAAAATTGTTTCAGCATCATATGTTCTCTATACCCTGCAAGTTTTGTATGAAACGTTTTTTCGTAGAACGCATACTTTAGAAGTTATTACTTACCCCGTACGTACCGGGTGAGACCGAAATAGGCGGCCGAACTTTGGTACCGCGTATCTCAAAGAAGTGTTTATATCTCAGAAAGGAAGAGTTTCCGGACCTATGTTCATATGAACTTTTTTCATCCTTAGGAAAAGTAGAATGGAATACCAAAGTTTGGTCATTTATTTCTGTTGTAAAACAAATTATAGGAATGTGCAATCTCTCAGATTTGATTCAGGATGAAAATTTAAAAGAAGCTTTTTCAACTGATGTTATTCGAAAGAAAACACGGTAAATTTAGTTGAATATCTTTTTAAAGGAGAGAAACGCGTTTACCCTTGTAGGGGTTAAATGTCCTGAAGCTTTCGTCTCTTGTTCCTGAGGAGCACGGTCTATAGATCGTGTTCGCGTGTATCAGAATGTGTACGGGCTTCGACGGCGACAGTTTTGATCGGATTACAGCGTCGTCCTCATCTTTCAGGATGACCGAAACCGATGAGCGGATGAACGAGTAAAGCCAGGAAGGAATCACAAGGGAAACGAGGGTTTGCCGAAGCAAGAGATGGTGGTAGAGTGGCTCTGTCCTGGACTTAGGCCGGCCGGAAGCCGTAGGCCCCGTCTTCTTCACTGCAAGGTGATACTTCTCGACGAGCACGAACTGTTACAAGATGTCTTGGTGAGTCTGGACACACTATTTTGCCTCTTGTAATTCAGCTTTCCGAAACAAACAGGTAGAATAGGCTCTCGCGGTGAAACGAAGAAAAGGACGTGGGCAAATAACGACTTTTTTTTAGCCTATCTGCATTTTGATATCTTTTTTGCGTAGATTACATCTTCGTTTAAAAGAATTTAATGAAATTAAAGGGAACATCTAGAATTTGAGGAAGAATTTCTTTTTTTTTAAATGTCTAAGAGTGAAATCAGGTAATATTATGAGGTTAAACATTTTTTTTCTTTTTTGCTTAAAATTTAAGCAAATAGGTGATTACAGCTCCTCGTCACAGACTTTTTCTTTTCCCATATGAATAGGTCGGAAAAGGTTGTTATACGCCCACGTCCTTTAACCCTTTTTAATTCAATTCTTCTTCGTTCACGAGAAGAAAAATTACAGTTGATTACAATTTTACATTTTGATGGGTGAAGCAGGAATTAATAGTTACTTAAAAGAAACTGGCTGGTAATAGTATAACAGTACAGCAATGAACAAATAAAATGAGACTTATAAAATATAAGTAAATCGATACGTAAGTTCCAAGTCACGTGGCGTTATAGAATGTTAATCGATTTTTTGGCGACGAATGTATAATCCTACATTTTACTATTATTTCTTAAATCTAAATCTTTGAAGTATCTTCTTTATCAAAAGAGTTAAAATAGATATTATCATACAAATTCGATTATCTTCTTTATCATTCTTGTTAATGAGTGAAAATATGATTCATCGTCGAATCCAAAAGTAAATCCCAAAATAAATGAATTTTTAAGATATCCAGTGATTTCATCCTGCACAAAGGAGTGAACCTACAAATTTGCAATTGCACGATTTAAAATTAGAAATTTTAAAAAT